GTGTGGCATATGCAAATAAGATATGCTAATGAGCTCCTGCACCTCTTTTTCTACAAAATGACCCCTGGAGAGCCTAACTTCCCAATCTGGAAGGGGGCTAATTCTATCCTATTCCACTCCCTCTTTGGGCCTCCTTTGCTGGACACAGAGTAGGATCTCTCAAGCAGTGACAGCATCCAGGGCCATCAGGCTTCTATCCTGCCCTTTCCTCCAGGGGCAGCAAACACGGTTTTACTTTCTATATTTTATCCTCACGGAACTGAACAACAACAAAATAAAACTTCAGTGCTCTCAAGGCAAGTGATATATTTTTTTTACATTTTTAACCCAGTGAAAAGCCCTGTCTCTGGCAACCACATACCCTGCCTCTGAAGGCTGTTGGGGATACACAAAGAAGACCATCTTTTAAGACCATCTTAAATGTAGGTCCCTAAACAATGTCACTCGAAGCCGCCCATTGTTTTGGAAGCTCCTTGTGCCGTTCATAAATGCCTTCATCATATTTTCCAGCAGGCTCCCAAATCAGACTCTGTTTGCCATTTTTTTCCTGCAGTCAAACATTGTTTCTTTCCACTTCCACAGAACTGAAGTCTCACAGGCTCGGAGCAGCTACCAAAAGCCATTAATCAGGTCTTGCAGAGTCGTTCCCGAGCAATGGGATTCCAATTAGGCAACGCTCAAAGGATTTGGATAAAAAATGCAAATCTTACCAAATGCTCGATGCGCCGGACTGGGGCCGTATTCCGTCTCTGACATGTGGGAAAAACAGAGAGAAGCAAAAGGGGAGTTTGGAAAAACAAAATATACAAAGAACACTGAAATCTGATTGTGCTGTGTAGCTTCTTCCCCTGAGAAACCAGCCACGGCTATGTGGGCAGGTTCCACGGGGGACTCACAGCTGAATTATGAAAACTGTTCTGTGACACTTTAAGTCAGTGTGAGAGCGTGTGGCTGGCCCAAGGTCACCCAGCAAGCATGCATGCGCCGAGTGGGGACCTGAACCTCAACTTCCCAGATCCTCGTCCAACACTAAGCACCTAGGCAGGCAGATTCACAGCAAGCGTGCTCCTAAAAGTCCAGATCAAAAATCTCCACTCGGAGCCACCCACAACTTTAGAGAGCCTCAGGGGTCATTTCCTGCGGGAGCGCACAGGAGCGGAGCTCCGGCAGTAAGGAGCCTAAGGGGCAGGCACATGCAACAAGCCCCACCCCCTGCTCCCAGCAGTCCTCAGAGCAAGAAGCAGCCAGGTAAGTTGCAGAGCCACACACCCCCTTTCAGGTACAAGCTCTCCCTCCTCTGTGAGGGCGGATCGGCACGCCCCCCCCATAGCTAGCAATTCAAAACAGTCCAGTGGAGCCTGAGCGGTGAGTGTTGCCTTCTGACACACTTCCGGTGATGTCAGGGGGTGTGGCATATGCAAATAAGATATGCTAATGAGCTCCTGCACCTCTTTTTCTACAAAATGACCCCTGGAGAGCCTAACTTCCCAATCTGGAAGGGGGCTAATTCTATCCTATTCCACTCCCTCTTTGGGCCTCCTTTGCTGGACACAGGGTAGAATCTCTCAAGCAGTGACAGCATCCAGGGACATCAGGCTTCTATCCTGCCCTTTCATCCAGGGGTAGCAAACACAGTTTTACTTTCTATATTTTATCCTCACGGCACCCTGACCTGGATAGCCCAGGCTAGCCCGATCTCGTCAGACCATGGAAGCTAAGCAGGGCTGGTCTTGGCTAGTATTTGGAAGGGCAACCTCCAAGGAATATCAGGGTCTCGATATTGCAAACCACCTCTGAAACATCTCTTGCCTTAAAAACAAGTCTAGCTCGCCACCTGGTGGTGCATAATGCTAAAAGGAGAAGAAGAAGAGAAGAGATTGGATTTATACCCCGCCCTTCACTACCCAAAGGAGTCTCAGAGCGGCTTACAAACTTCTTTCCCTTCCCCTCCCCACAACAGACACCCAGTGAGGTAGGTGGGGCTGAGAGAGCTCTGACAGAAACTGCTCTTTTTTCAAGAACAGCTCTTATCAGAACTACGGCTTGCCCAAGGTCATCCAGCCAGGTGCAAGTGGAGGAGTGGGGAATCAAACCCGGCTCTCCCAGATTAGAGTCCACGCACTTAACCACTACACCAAACTGGCTAGAGCTAGAACATCTGTCTGCCAGACAATCTTAGGATCTCCTGGCTAGATTACACACATACGATGATGACGACGACGACGATACTCATGGCACTCCTTGCTTAGGCTGAGAGAATGTGAGTGGCCCAAGGTCAACCAGTGAACTTTATGGAAAAGTGGGGATTCGAACCCAAGCCTCTCAGATCCTAGCCTGCCTATCCACTGGACCACACTGGCCCTTCAATAGGGCTGGGACCAGTTTGTATATGATAGCACTGACTTAGGGTTGCCAGCCTCCAGGTGGGGCCTGGGGATCTCCCGCTTTTACCACTGATCCCCAGCCGACAGAGATCAGCTCCCCTGGAGAAAATGGCAGTTTTGAAGGTGAACTCTATTGCATTGTACCATGCTGAGGCCCCTCCCCTCCCTAGACCACGCCCTCTCCTGGCTCCACCCCCAAAGTCTCCAGGTATTTTCCAACCCAGACTTGGCAACCCTACACTAGCTTCATCTTGAAGTGAGAGGAGAAGGACTGAGAGTAGGTGGAGAATGAATTTTTGCATAATTTATCTGGAGGGGAGCAGTATGGTATAGCTTTCTGACTGTCCGACTCGGATCTAGGCGACCTATGTTCAAATCTCCACTCTGCCATGCACTAGTTGGGTCGATCTCGTATGGCTGTTGTGTGGGTATAACGGAAGGAGGGAGAACAATGTACACTGCTGCTGATTTCCTTGGAGGAAGGGCAAGATAAAAAGACATGCCGAATAACTAAATATCCCAGAATCTATAAAAGCAAGAATATTGTTGATTTTCTAAACACAGCCAAGTTTTGCACCTTCAAAAATGTTAAAGGTCCTACTATAGGGTAAACTGGCCTCCTCTTCAAAGAAGGGGAAATATAGTTAGATATGCCATGGTAAACATTAATATTATGATTTCCCGCTTATTCTCTGTTCAATGGAGCTAGGTTCCAACAAGTTAGAACTGTGAACATTCCATGACAGCGTATCAGGATACGCTGGCTCGATCCTTGGTGGGGAGGAGGGCAGGATCATTTCCCTACCTACCTGCCCATCTGGGGCACCAGCAGGCATCTATGAACTGGTTTATGATGTAGTCTGGCACACACACACGGCCTCCGAGGGCACAGTTAAACTCTAAATTACTTGTAGAATTTCAATGGAGCACATGGAAATAATGTGTGTGCCAAATCAGATTATCGTGCAACACATGGACGCCGAGGGGCATCAGCGGTTGAGGTGATGCGCCAGTAGGTGGAGAAGGAAGGTGTGTTCCCCATTCCTCCCCATGCATCAAGAGTCAGTGTTGTGTGGTTATTAGAGAGTTAGATTAGAACCTGGAGTTGAAAATCCACACTGCACAGCAATCACACGGATTCGACTGGCTTTCGAGCAAGGGAACCTTTACCTTTACCTTTTTTACAGACAAGGTATATATACTAGTGAAGGATACAGACAACAAGGATCTACAATCATAATAAAGCTATAAAACTGTTAACGATAACTGTTAGTCATATGGTCTATGACAGGCCACCAAAGAGACAGAAACGAAGATTGGTATTCATAACTCTATTTGTGACTATTGTGATAAATTATTATACAGTCTTTAAAAACGTGATTTGACTTCTGACTCCCTACATACCCCGTAGTTCTTCATTGTTCAAAAGCATGCCACACATGGTGACTGTGTAATTGTTTTACTTTGTACAGTTTGTGACTTTATGAAAAACTTAAAAATAAAGATTTTTTTAAAAAAATCCACACTGCAGCAAAATTGCATTGAGGAAACACACTTGAACACAGATGAAGCTGCCTGATACTTTCAGATCGTTGGGCCATCAAGATCAGAACTGCCTACTCAAACTGGTAGCTGCTCTAGATTGTTCCTATTAGCTATGTAAAGGTCAGGGGTCATTTCCTGCAGGAGCGCACAGGAGCAGAGCTCCAGCAGTAAAGAGCCCAGGGGGCAGGCACATGCAACAAGCCCCACCCCCTGCTCCCAGCAGCCCTCAGACAGAGCAAGAAGCAGCCAGGTAAGTTGCAGAGCTCCCCCTGGCCCCCCGGTCCAAAACAGTCCAGTGGCACATACAAGCTCTCCCTCCTCTGCGAGGACAGATCTGCACATTCCCCCCCCCCCAATAGCTAGCAATCCAAAACAGTCCAGTGGAGCCTGAGCGGTGGGTGTTGCCTTCTGACACACTTCCGGTGATGTCAGGGGGGTGGCATATGCAAATAAGTTATGCTAATAAGTTATGCTAATGAGCTCCTGCACCTCTTTCTCTACGAAATGACCCCCTGGTAAAGGTAAAGATTTCCCTTGCTCGAAACCCAGTCGAATCTGACTCTAGGCTCAGCTATGACCTGATCCTTAACAGAGATGCCGGAAATTGAACCGGGGATCTTCTGCATGCTAAGCAGATGATCTACCACTGAGCCACAGCCCCTCCCCAGCGAGTTAAATGACCTTGGGTCAGTCACTCTCCCCGCCTAATGTACCTCACAGGGTGGTTGTGAGGATAAAAGGGGGGGAGGACTATGTCCTGTTTGTTCCTTGTAGGAAGGCCAGGATGAAAAATTATAGATGAACAGAAATATTGATAAAAAGATGGGGAGGGTATATCCTCTGAAACAGATGACTGAGAAACTGGGATTGTATGTGGCACAAGGAGAGCTGACTGGCACACACGGAAATTGTCCTGCTTCCCCTCTACCGCTGCAGTCACTGCCCCCCAAGTATTGTTTCACCACGGGTCAGTAGACCACCTAGAGAGACAAAGTAGGGGGACTGCAGTGAGGGGGGAGAACGCCCCAAAATTCCCTCGTGGTTGTCTGCAAAGTGGAAGTGCCTATCGGAAGCAGATCAAGGGTTGCCAGCTCCAGGTTGGGAAACACCCGGAGATTTGGGGTGGGGTGTGGAGCCTGAGGGGGGTGGGGTTCGGGGAGGGAGAGACATCAATGGGGTATAATGCCATAGAGTCCACTTTCCAAAGCAGCCATTTTCTCCAGGCGAACCGATCTCTGTTGTTTGGAGTTCAGTTGTAATAGCAGGAGATCTCTGGTCCGGCAACCCTAATTCTGCCCACCTCTTGCGGGGCGAGGGTTACCCCGACTTGGACCACTATCCACAGCAGAATTCGGAGAACAGAAATCCAAAGCTGGAGAAACTAACTTGACCTAAGTTTGAAAGATTCCTCCAAGACTGAGACTGATTTCGCATTAGAGCTGCTTCGATGTTGCGCCGCCGTTTGCCCCGATACTATTGGTCAATTTCACACCCGAAGCTGCGGGGCTGCATTTTGACTCACGGCTTTGGGTGTGAAATTGACCAATAGCATTGGGGCAAATGGCGGTGCAACATCGAGGTAGCTCTAGTGCGAAATCAGCCTGATTGTTTTCCTGGAAGTCGTTCTCGTGGGTGAGTGCGCTGATGTCTGATTTAAATCAATGGGGGGATATTATCCCTCGACGGAGAAAAAAACCCAGTTTTTTTTAAAAAGCAGGCCTTCGAGCAAAAGCAGTGAACTTTTTGTATCGACACACACAGCTGTGTAAACCGAAGCTGCAGGTTCAGTCTCCGGTGGCTAGTTACTTCTGGAAAGCAAG